AAGGGTACGGGGTGTTCTTCTGGAGTGATGAAAAAGTTTTGAAACTGGAGAGAGATGGTGGTGCCAACGTTGTGAATATGCTCCATGCCACTAGATTGTACACTTTAAAATGGTCAATTGTATGTTACATGAATCTCACCTCAATTAAAAATAAAAAAGAAAGAAAGATCCTAACGAACACATGGAGGGAGGTGGGGGTGGTTTCTGTCCTTCCCTGGTGCCCTAGGGCTTCCCCCAGCTGACCCAGGAAGACTGCACGTGGAAGAGAGCTGGCCCCACTCCAGCAGAAATGAGCCAATAGAAGGTCCTGTTTGCAGAGAGAGAACCAGGACTCACCAGCCTCTCTCAGCCCCTGGCACCCTGGGCTTCCGGTCTGGCTGTGTGCCAGCTAGGGCCCTGCTCCCCTCGGGGTGAATGGTGCAGCCCTAGAGAGTGGTTGACAGGCTGCATGGTCCTGAGCTCAGTGAAGGTCCCCGATGTTCCTCTGATCCCCTTTCCAGGTCAATCCTACAGGGGAGACACCACCCACCACTGGTGCCCAATGATCCCAGCTCCTCTAATCAGAGTCTCTGGCTGTCGAGTCCGTTGCTAACATGGTGACTCTAACTGCTGTGTACTACAAATTAATTCATTCCTTTAGGCCTCGCTGTTCAGTAACCGGCTGTCACAGCAATTGCCCCGGGAGCTAATTGAGAGTTGTGATCCGTGGCAGTATTTCCATTAGCATAATGACAGCAGCCACTGCACACACACAAATACACACAGAAGCAAAAACACATGGGTACTTGTACACACACATACGGAAGCTCAACACACACACACAAATGCCCAGCACACAAACACACACGCATTCAGCTGATTAGCCCCGGTTTGTTAGCACAGAGACAACTGGGAGAGGATGCTGCCAGGGCTGCTCATATTCTGGGAGGCCCCAGAAGAGGATGAAACCCCTGTGGACATGGGACACTGGGGATGGGCTCTGAGTGTGTGTGCACAGGTCGGGGTGGATAAGTGACAGGATCAAGGGCTCTCATTCCAACCAAAGTTCATCACCCGGCTGCCTCTTCATGCCAGGCAACGCTGATGCATGAATTCACTAATTCTTTCAAAAAGTCCTTAGATGGATACGAGCCAGGGACCATTCTGGGCACTCAGTGGTTGTCCTAGGGTGGATTCCCACCAGAGCAGAGCCTGAGATAGGATGTGAGTGAGGCGGTTTGTGGGGACTTGACGCCAGGAAGCCCCAGTAGGGAGAGGGGGAGTGAAACTGGGCAGGGATGGCAGGCAACACACGAGGGCAAGGAGCAGGTCACCACGGCCGTGCTGGGACTCGGAGAGAGTGTGCACACCCCGGCTCAGAGCTGTCCTACCCCTACTGGAGGCGGAGGAGCTGGGGTATTTACCCTCAACTCCCAGCGGTCATCAGTGAGGGTTGAGGGTTGCTTGCAGGGTTAGCTTCCTGCTACTTGTGGCCTAATCCTTGTGCAGACCCAGCATGCTTGTCCTCGGAGGAGTCACAGAGTCAGGTACTCACAGTGAGTACCTGCAGGGTGAGTGCAGAGGGGGTGGTGAGGGGGGGGTGAGTGAGGACGGGAGGTGAGTGCAGGGAGGAGGTGAGTGCAGAGAGGATGTGAGCACAGAGGGAGTGGGCTGCCCAGCAGCCTCCCTGAGGGGTGCACAAGACAGACCCAGTCCCTTCTCTAAGAAGCTTATTTCAGATGAACAAGGCCGGGGAGTCAAGTTCAGGAGTCAGGACAGCAGAGGCTCAGGGCCAGGCTCGGCATCCAGTGGAGCAGGGTAGGGGATGGCTCTGCTGAGAGCTCCTCCTCCTGCTGTGCTCATAGGCCATTGATGCTCCTCACGGCTCCATCCAGGGCCTTCTGTTTCTCACCCTGTGCTATCTCCTTCAGCCACTCCCCTGCACGCACAGCCTCAGCCACCACCGCAGGCAAGCGACCCCCACTCAGGTAACTCTGGCCCGGCCTCTCCTCCAAAGCCCCAATGTTGTGTGTCCAGCTCCCCGTGTGGCATCCCTGCTTGGATGTTGTGAAGGCACAAGACTCTAAACACGGTCAAAACCAAACTCACCATCTCCCCTCCTCCCTACAAACCTGGTCATCTTTCAGGTTCCCCATCTCAAGGCGTGGCAGCGATTCCATTTCTCAAGCTAGAAGCCTAGGATTAGCTCTGCACATCTTTCTGACATCGTTGATGGTCAATCGACACCAAGTTCCATTGATCTTTCCATCTCCCAAATATTTACCTCCCACTGCCGTCTGTTCTATCTCCACTGCCACCCCCTAATCGAAGCAGAGGATGGGCACTCAAAAGATACCTGCAGATGAGGGCATGATGTGGACGGGCTTGCACTTCTGTGAGGACTCTTGAGACTCTCTACTCTGCCAGGGTGCTGCAATGACACTCCAGGGGCATGCCATCCACTTCTTAATCTGGATTGTAGCAAAGATAAATGAAAAGAAATATATTCCAACTAGATAAATTATAAAATCCAAATAATGAGTCTGGTGGATCCATTCTAAGTGAATTGTGATTAATACCCTTTTTTTACTAGTGATAGAAAATCTGACTTAAAATGGCTCAAGCAAAGTAAGCGGGAGGGGTGGTGGAATATTTAATGGCTCAGATAACTAAAAAGGCCAGTATTAGAGCTTCAGGCACAGCTTGATCTAGGACCTATTGATAACACCAGAAGCCTCTGTTCATCTCTTGATTCCACTTTTTCTATATTAGTTTCATTCTTGGAGAAGTTCTGACCCTTAAAATGGCAAAATGGCTGGCCATAACCAGTCCATAGCCTTGCAGGTTCAAAACCAGTAAAAAGAATTCTCCCTTCCTGTACAAGTTCTGGGAATCACTCTGATTGCATTAATTTGGAAGACATGCCCATTCTGAAGCAAGCTTTTTGGACCCAGGGAGATTGAACGCTGATTGACCAGGCTCTGAAGTCTTGGATGGGACCCTACATAGCCTGAGAGTAAGGGAGATGGGTCCCCAAAAGGGACTCTGAGTGCTATTTACTCAAAGAAGGGGAATGGAAGCCAAGGGCTGAGGCCACAGACAACAAATCCCCACTAGTAATATGTACCCTGCTTTGCCCAGGGCCAGCAGGACCCTTGGATGGAAGTCCGTGGAACTATGCAGCTAATGGTGCATGCTATGCACTATGCACAGCTCACTATGCAGCTGACAGCCCATGCCGCTAACTGTGCAGCAGCCATTTGAACAGAGCGCTGGGTCTGCCTCGCTTGTTCCAGAGTCCACTGCACAGGTGCAAAGCCACACGCTGCCTGCATGTGATGCAGGTGTGGGGGGTGGGGGGAGGGGAGCTCTGGGTCCTTCCGCTTTCCCCAGGATTCCGTTTACAGATGATAGTGCCACTCACTTGGTCTACTGGATTGAACAGTGTCTCCCAAAACTGCATGTCCACCTGGCACCTCGGAATGTGACTTATTTGAAAATAGGGTCTTTCCAGATGTAATTAGTTAAGATGAGGTCATACTGGATTAGGGGGCACCCTAGATCCAATATCACTGTTGTCCTTATAAGAAGAGGAAAGGACACACAGAGACACTGACACACAGGGAAGAAGGCCATATGGTAACGGAAGCAGAGATTGGAGTGATGCATTGACTGGCCAAGGGTTGCCCACAGCCACCGGAAGCTGGAAGAGGCAAGGAAAGATTTTTCCCTAGAGCCTGCAGAAGAGCATGGCCCTGCTGACACCTTGATTTCAGACTTCTAGCCTCCAGAATGGTGAGAGAATAAATTTCTGTTGTTCTAAGCCACCCAGTTTCTGATATTTTGTTACAGCAGCCCTAAGAATCTGACACACTTGGGCCGACCTTGTTCCATACAACTCCATTTCCTTAATATCCACCCCTGCACGAAACAGACAAAAACCATCACAGATACAGGCACTGCTGTGTGTAGCAAACATTATTGAAAGTCTGGAGGAGTTTTATTTGGTCACATCATCTCGCAGCCTTAAGACACTCTGAAGCCCTCTTCTCCAGTCTGTCTTTCCTCTGCGTTCTCTCAGATGAAATCCACTTCCTAGCTTTATTACGTAGAACCATCTAGGTCCTGTGTTGTCCTCTGCTCTGGGCTCATCTGCCCCTCCAGAGCTCACTGCCCTGCTCTGCAGAGACCACTTACTAACGATTCACCCTTCAGCAACAGAAAACATGGAGGGTATCTGGACCTGTCTGTCTTTCTCCTCTTCCTCTCTCTCCAGTCTTAGCTAGAGGAAAAAAGCACTAGAGAGATTTTTTTCTTACTCATTTGAATTATTCTGTCCTCCTCAGAAAGCAGAAGAAGTTACAGTCTCTTTTGGTTTTAAGTAGCAATTTTTTATCACCAAGACTGGAAAGTTCGTGTTTTCTGCCCGTGGTGTATGCGGCCACCATTGACCTTTAATTTGGTGACTCTTTATCCAGATGGACCCACCACCTTGGCTCAAAAGCCTGCCTGGTTCCAACTGCCACAGAGAGGGGGGCCATCTTCCCAGCTCCCACTGGAGGCTCTCCCTCCTCCATCCGTGGCTGTTTTGATGGTCAGAGCTGATGGACATATTGAGGGACCTCAGAGGCCATCTAGTGAGGAAACAGAGACCCAAAGAGGAGAGGGTCCTGCCTGGGGTCACCCAGCAGGTGGTGAGGCAGCTGAGATCAGAACCCGGTCTCTTGCCTCTTCCGGCCCAGTCTGCAGGGGTGAGACTTGGGAGGAGGTGAGGCAGGCACTGCTGACAGTGTACAAAATGCTGTCCGGCTGTTCAAAAGTACTTTCCTCGCCTGTTTGCTAGGCTTTCTCAAAATTCCCTGTTTAACCTTGATCTCAGATTGTCTCCATAGGGCTCCGGTTAAAAAGGACATACACTGCCTCAAAGGTAGCATACTGTCAGCATTTGGCAATATAATAGTAATAATTCATTACAAGAACGATATCTCACACATTTAGACTTAAAGAGTGCTTTCCCAGAGATCCCAACCAGGGACGATTTTGTCCCCCAGAGGACATCTGGCAGTGTCTGAAAACATTTTTGGTTGTCACAACTGGGAGTTGCTACTGGCATCTAGTGGGTAGAGGCCAGAGACGCTGCTAAACATGCTACGAAGTACAGAACAATACCAATAACAAAGAATTCTCTGGCTTAAAATGTCAACAGTGTGGCGGTTGAGAAACACTACCATGGATCACTCAGTCCTCCTGACAACATTCCAAGGCAGAACTTTCCAACTTGGGTGCCAGGGACACGAATGGGTTACACACAGTGGATCCTCCTCTTCACCCTTGAGGAGCCAGGTAGGGCCACCTGCATCTGGTGCTTACAGCCTCCTCCTGGGTTCTTGCAGAAGTGGCCAGAGCTGAGCATAAAAGCGCTTAGCAGGCACTCCATTAGACTCCAAAACGGGCAATATTATCCCTATTACAAAAGTAAGTCAACTGAGATTCAGGAAGCCTTCACTTTCAAAGTCACACAATTAGGTGCTGGTTCCAGGAGTAACGAAAAATTAAAGCAGATTTTTTGATGCTCATCATGTATTGTAGGGAATTAACGGCAATTACTATTTTACGAATGAGGTAATTTTCATAGAGATTAATTTTCCCAGGGTCATATATCTAGTAAGTGGAAAAACCGGATTAAACCTCAGGCCTGTCCTATTCCAAAGCTCGTGCCTCTTTTCCATTATATGTCGTTCCCCTTCCATGACTCTCTCCTTTAGGTGAGTGGTGGGTCTTATTCCTCCTGTGGCTGAGCTCAACACAACCCCTGGTACACAACAGTCCCTCAGTAAATGCTGGTAAGTTGAACAGAACCGTCACTCCTTCCATCCTTGGCTTAGCTATCCAGATCTAGGACTATTAGAAACCCCCGAGTGGATGGACATTGACTGTTCCCCTTGCTAGGACTCTGCCCCCACCAAGCCTTGCCCTTCCTCTCCTTTCAGGATCCACTCACATCTCACCTCTTTTGGGACGGCTCCTCAGGTGAACTCTAGTTCCTCATTTTCTCCTCTACCTTGAGGGCTTAAGCAAGTGGGGGTGGTAGGTAGGTTGGAAAGAGCATGAGGCTGCAGGCCAGGACACCTCTTTGGACCTGTGTTTCTTTTTCTATAATGTTAAGAAAGTTGAGAAGATTATTTATAAGATCCTTTCTGCGGTAGGCTGAATAATGGCATCCCAAAGATGTCCATGATCTAATTCCAAGGAGATGACTAATTCCTCTAACAGCTAGCTGTTGAGCACCCACGATGGCTGGCACTGATCTAGACACAGGAGCAGGAGTGGTGAACCAAGTAAGATAAACCCCTGCCCTGGGGGAGCTTGTGCCCTAGTGTGGGGGTGGCATTGGTCCTGCCAACAACAACACAAACATATGTACCTCTGCACAGGGCTTTATGGTCTTCAGGGCTCCTTCAATAACCACACATAGCAGGCTGCCCCACTCCATGGGGAGGATGCGGAGGCCCAGGCAGGGGAGCTACCAATTCCCTCACCGGACCCTATGGGTCAGGCCCCCCACTAGAGGGACACATCTTCTATCCAATCAGTGGAGGATTTCCACACATAAAGCCTCACTAAAGATGAGCTCACAATCCAAAGTTACAAAACGGCATGAGGAGATAATCCAACACAAGTGAAAGTTGGCAGATATAAGAGATGATAAGATCAGCTCGTCAAGAAATTCAGATAGGGCCGGCCCCGTGGCTTGGTGGTTAAGTGCACGCGCTCCGATGCTGGTGGCCCGGGTTCGGATCCCGGGCGCGCACCGAGGCACCACTTCTCCGTCCATCCTGAGGCCGAGTCCCACATACAGCAACTAGAAGGATGTGCAGCTATGACATACAACTATCTACTGGGGCTTTGGGGGGAAACAATAAATAAATAAAATCTTTAAAAAAAAAAAGAAATTCAGATAAAAATATTATAGGCACAACTCTGTGAATATACTAAATCCCACTGAATTGTACTCTTTAAAAGGGCGAATTTTATAGCGTATGATTTATATGTCAATAAAGCTGTTATTAAAGGAAAAGACCACAGGATGGAGATCATAATACATGTATTTTTAAATGATTAAAGTTACATTATCTTCCTGTGGGATTATTTAAGAATTAGAGAAAAGGTATAACTGGCATAAAATAAGCACTCAATAAGTAGTATTAATTATGATTATTCAGTGATCATTAATTTATCCTCATTTCTGTATTTCCTAAACTCCTTGTCATTTATCAAAATGTACCTGTGCTGTGGCCCATTCTATTAGAGCCTTAATACCATATTCCCTCAATTCTAAGATGCCAGCAATTGTAACACACACTATCAATTCAATAAAAGTGTTTTTCTTAATAAAGCAATCTATCAAATGTATTTATCTATTGTAAGTTTCACTCTGATTTTGGAAATATTAAAGTGAGAAAAACACATTTAAATTTATAATACCTTATAAAGTTATTTGTGTTACTGTGACAATGGATGCTACTGCTGGGTAGCTGACTTAATGTTTTATGATTCTAAATTCCAGATCACCTGAAGGCTGGCAGCTAGAGACCAGCAACGTTAGAGGCTGGAGCATGAGACTAGCATCACAGCCATGCGTGTTGCCCCCAAGGCAGTGGAGTCCACGAGTCTGAAGCAGGAAGAGGGACAACACACAGGCTCAACAAGGGACGTTGTTTTCATAGCAGAGGCATTATCTGGCCCAGTGCTGCATCTGCTTAGCAAGGATCCAATACTACTTGCTGTTTGGTGTCATCAGCCTACATGGGGCTTCTCCTCCCTCCTGGGTCTTGATTTCCCTGGTTAGAAAACGGAAAGGAAGGAATATGACTCTATTTTCCCATGGACCACGAGTGAAGGCTTATTTGGCTCCAAGTTTGGCAGGATGGAGTTCTCTTTCTTCTTCACCCCTTTTGTTCCTCCCCATGAGGGGGGATCATCTCTTTACGAGAGAGCGTTGTGGCTAAGGATTGTGCCCAACCCGAAAGATTTCAAGGATCCACTATTGGCTAGGGCTGCAAAGCTGGGAACTACAGGGAGGGCAGAGGGAGAAAAAGGAAAGGAGCAGAGAGACAAAAGGAGAAAGGTGCCCACCCATGACTGATTCAGACCATCCTGAAAGACCATCTAATGGTGGGGATTTCACAACGGGATTTAATGATGCACGGCATAAAGCGCTATCACAGAAGTAGGTGTGAAGTGCAACCTCCTTCACCCATGAAGATGAAGGCAGGAGAGCCTGGCCCATCAGGACAAAGGGTCTTATATATATGCCAATGTCTCTCAAACTTCAGCACGCACGTGAATCACCGAGGATCTTGTTTAAAATGCAGATTCTGAATTGGCAAGTCTGGGGTGGGGCCTGAGATTCTGCTTTCCTAACAAGCTCCCAGGTGATACAATGCTGCTGGTCTAGGAACCACACTTTAGTAGCCAATATTCCAGCATATTGGACTGGATGGATATTCACTCATTTGTTCATTCATTCATTCAATCAGTCCATAAATATTTATTGAGCACATACTATATGCCAGACAATATTCTAAGATACTGAATAGGAAAAAACCAGCAGAACACAGAGCTTACATTCTAAATGAAAAAAATATATGGTTGCATTAATTAATTAGTGGTGGAAGCTTGTGGTTTAGTGCAACATGGTAATGACGATGCAACACAACCAAATTTCTCCTTATCTTGCAAACCCAAGCTCCAAAATTTGCTCATTGAAGAAGAGGGCAGGAAGAGAAGGGAGGAGAGAGGGAATCCTGGGCCGATTACCAGCAGCATGACCTTGAGCATGTTCCTTAACCTCTCTGGGCTTCAGGTTCTTTTAAGGGAGGAGCCTATTCCAACTTTACCTGATCATCGTGAGGATTAAATCAGAAAACGTACCAAACAACCTGGTCTAAATGCCTGGCACATAGTAGGCACTTGACATGTGGTGGCTGCTGTCATTTTATTATTACCGACCAAAGTGTGAAAGCGCAGCTGCCTGGGCCTGTGTCCCCACCCCCCACCCCCT